GGGGGGTGTTGTCGTTCTGCTCACTGAAGCTAACACCCTACTTGATGGCCAAAAACTTCACCTCAGCCTCTCCAAGGGGTTCTAATGGACTGTCTATAGAACTTGAGTATTACCCAGAGTAGCTTAAACAAGCCCAGCCTAGGCTGTATGTGAAGGTGATTCGCCCAGACTGCTAACGACCTCCATTTGTGAGCCACACCCTGTTCTCAGAACAGAACACAACCACTGAGCATCGAGCACATGCCTGTAGAAACATCACCGTCAGTGCTCTTATAACGCCACATGTACTCCAACGTCACAACATTTATGCAGCAGCAACATAACGTTGTATTTACATGGTGCCGGGAGCACAAATACTCCACAGCTCTGCTGAGACCAACAACAAAGACGAGCAACGCCTGTCACTCCTAAAGGTGCCACAGAACCGTGGCAGTGCAGGATCACAGCTAGCATAGCCTAGCATCAGACTGTGTGTTGTTCCTGCTGAGTTCCTGCTGCATCTTGGTTTTATTGGCAGATGTGTGAGGTATTTGGACGTTTTAAAGACGCTGCTTTCATGAAGTTACCAGCATGATCAGTGAATTTGTGGCGGCCTGGCGTTGATGGAGACCGAGCTACGCTACGTTAGCTGGAGCAGCAGAGACGTAACGTTGTGACGTTATTTTCTTACAGCCACGTGTCTCAATACGCCACAGGAACATGAGGCAAAGTGTGACAACCTGACAGCAGAGCTACAGCGATTTACACTTTGGGTTCTGATTTAAAGAAGGAGTCATTTGTGTGAAAGTTACTAAATGTAACAAATCTACGACAAAGTCCAAGTAACAAAATTACCACTGTAAACAAACACAAACTAACATAAAATCCGATTCTTCCCCGACCTGCTGGATTTGGATTCTCCTCATGAGTTTGATGCATAGATTCTGCAAAGAGATAAAACAAGAATAAAATCACTTTTTGTACATTTTTTTTCTAACAGAAACAAACATTTTAGATCAAAGATCAAATGGAGCAGATCTTAGTAAAACACTTAAATGAAGAAATGTTTTTAAAGATGTTGGCTGGTTCTCAAAACTCTCTCTCAGGTCGGAGGCAATGCGTTCGACATAACGGTACTTCTGACTACCTAACAGTCACTAATGGTGTGCCACAAGGCTCAGTTTTAGGTCCCATTCTTTTTACAATTTATATAATTAATGTAGGTCAAAACATTCCTGACTCATCGTTGCATCTCTATGCCGACGACACTGTTGTTTATTGTCGAGCTAACACAATTGCCAAGATTTCCAGCTTCTACAGTCTGAATTTGACATCATTCAGTCAGACTTATTCCATCTCAAGCTGGTGCTAAATGCTGATAAAACTAAAGGGATATTGTTTTCAAACAGAAAGTTGGTGCCAGCAACTCTTCCTCCTATCTCATCCATGCATCGTGTTCCTATTGAGTTTGTAGATTTTTAAAAAATACTTGGAAAGAAACTAAAATTAAAACTGGGTTTCTTTTTCAGAAATAAAGCTCGTTTAACTCTGAATGCCAGAAAATGCCTTGTAGCTGCCACTTTCCTACCGGCCATTAACTATGATGACATATGAATCCCTCCTTGGTCTGCTACCTGCTTATATCTCCTCCCACATGTTACGCTGTCAGTGCAGTTACAACATGCGCTCTCTGGCCATCATTACCTGCAGCGTCCCCTCAGTGCAGACTGAATTTGGCAAGAAGGCCTTTTCCTACTCTGCTCCTGTAACCTGGAACACCTTGCAACAGGAACTGAAGTTGTCCACCTTGATTTCTTTAAAGGGTTTCAAACATAGGCCTGTCATGATAAATTTTGCTGGTCGATTAATTGTCTCAGAAATTATTGTGATACATGGGCACCGGCGACCCCCGTGACCCAAAATGGAACAAGCGGGTAAAGATAATGAATGGATGGATGGATTATTGCGATAAACAATAATATTGTTTGAAATTTGACAATTAGTAATTATTGTCAAATTTGAGAAGAAATGTTTGTTAATTTGTTTTGTGTGTAGTACCTGTTTTGACCACTGGATGATTTTAGTTGATTTTATCTTTTAGTTTATTTTATCACAGATTTTAGTTGATTTTATCATTGATTTTAGTTGCACTCTGAAGCGCTTTGAGATTTTTGTTAATGAAAAGTGTGTTACAAATTAAATTTATTATTATTTAGAAGTAGGGTGGGGCAAGAACACAGAGATTTAAAAGTAAATAAAAGAATCTTGAAATGGATCCTAAAATGTATGGGCAACCAGTGAAGTGAGGCTAAAATGGAGGAAATGTGCTCGTGTTTACAAGTGCCAGTTAAAAGACGTGCAGCAGCATTTTGCACCATCTGAAGACGGGCAATGGAGGAGCTACTAACCCCCACATAAAGAGCATTACAGTAATCCAGCCTAGTAGTTACAGAGGCATGAATTACTGTTCCAAAGTGCTGACGTGAAAGGATGGGTTTTATTTTAGCTAGCTGCCATTACTGGAAAAAGCTCCTGGCTGTCGAGCTTAAGATCCATATCCGTTTTCACCCCAAGGTTTGTAACGGTGGGCTTGATGAACTGGGCCAAGAGTCCCAGATCTACAGGAGGGGGGCCAGTGGTACCACCAAAAACCACAACTTCTGTCTTTTTCCCATCCAGGTTTTTATGTCGTCAGGACACCTGAGCAACGGATTGACAGAGTGCAGATCCGTTTTTTTTGAGAGGAACATAAATCTGACCGTCATCGGCACAACAGTGGAAGGAAATACCATGCTTCCTGGAACCAAGTGGAAGCAGGTAAAGAGAAAACCGTAGTGGGCCCAAGACCGAGCCCTGGGGGACCCCACATGACAGGTGGACGACACAAAGTCACCAAGACTGACACAAAAAGTTTGGTCTGTCAAGTATGACCTGAACCACTCCAGTGCTGCACCCCTGACACCCACCCACTGATGGTAAAACACAGAGGACACTTTCAGTTGTTTCTTCTGGTTTTAATCAGTTTAGGTTCTGAAAAGAAGACGTTTGTTTTCAAACTCTTCCCACGTCTTGATTTCAAACTAATGACACAAAAACAGTTCCGTCTGAACGGCTGTAACTTTCAGCTGAGGTCTTGATGGCTGCTGTCTGCGTTCAGTCATTAAACCAGTTCAAACCGTTCTTCTTTAATGAATGTGAGGCCTGCATGTGAACAGGTCAGTATCTGATGCTTACTTGTGACTCTGAGCTCACACTTCCTGTGGCGACTCTTTCCATCGGCGACGACGACCCACTGAAACGTTCCGGCGTCGCTGAGCCTCAGATCCTTCAGGAGACATTCAATCCGTCCTCTGGCGAGCTGGACGTCACACTGCAGTCGACCTCTGTAGGAAACATCTGTGTACGGCTCAGCCTCCGTGCTGTCGTACAGATAAATCCTCCTCAGTGGCTTCACAGCCAGCAGATCTATCAGCAGGAAGTTGTGGGGCTGGTCACTGGGAACCATGAAGGTCCATGTCAGAGAGACGTTGGAGTGCTCCTTTGTCTCGTAGACGTCCTCAGCTCCATTCACAGCAGACACAGGGTTTCCTGCAGGAGTCAGAGGGACAAACGGCCGGAGTCAGAGCAGGAGACGAAGGGATCCCAGGCTGGGAACACCTGGTCTCTTTCCATGGGCTCGACTCGGCCCCACTCGGGTCGACATGGACAGAAAATAACGTAGAGGAAGTTTCATCAAGGAGAGGCTCAGGTTCTATCATAGACCACAGAGACCACGTGGACTTGAGTAGAGTCCAAACGGGTCGTGGTGAGACCGGACAGGAGAGTTCTCTACAACACTGACTGCTGATGTCCGTCCATTCACTTTACCTGCTTCTACCTTTCCTGGTCCTGGGGGTCACTGGTGTCCAAAACCAGCAGTCACTGCGTGAGAGGTGGGGGACACCCTAGACATGTCTCCAGTCCATCACAGGAGACAAACAACCATTCACTCTCTCTCACCTAGGGACAATTTAGTTACCAGCAGTCTAACATGCAGGTTTTTGGTCTGTGGGAGGAAACTGGAGTACCCGAAAAAACCCACGCAGCACAGAGAGAACATGCAGACTCCACCCAGAGGCGGAGCTTCAGCTGTCAGAATAATAAGGATGAAGGCAGCTCTCACTGTGGGACCTGAAACCAGAAAGAGCTTGTGGATGCCAGTGAGGGACCTCAGAGGAACCAGTTTGACATCAGATTTAACAGACGACACGATGTTTCCTTTCAGATCACCAGAAGCCTCACCAGCACCAAACTGAATACACAGTTGATGCAAGCGGAGCCTGTCGAGGCTCTTCTGACTTCATCCTGATCAGAGAGAGTGAGGAAGAGGAGGAGACAGCTGAGCATGGCTCCGTCACATGGACGTTGGTCTCGGCTCATCTTTGATCCTGGGAGTGATCCTCACTCTGAACAAACACCAGGTTCCTCTTATTCTTTCACACTTTACAAAACACAAATGGTGATGAGAGGGAAACAAACTTTAGCATCATTTGTCTGATTAAAACAACTATTTGAAACATTTGTCTCTGAAGTTTGATGCTTGGAAACAAACCAGAAACTGACCTGCAGACAGTCTCAGAGTCCCCGTCAGCACCAGGACGGAGAGGACAGATGTCCCTCTGGACATTCTTCTCTCAGCTGCTGGAAACGGAGACAAAACGATCAGACTGGTCTGATTCTCTGGTCACTTCATGCTCCGTACTCTTTATTCACAAACTTTTTATAAACAAGGCAGAGGACAAAATGGAGGCAGAATACTCTGAGTACTCTGAGTACTTTCACTTTCATACAGGCTGCAGCTCTGCAAACATCAAATATATATTTGAACAAACTATTTCCACGAGCTGGTAAAAAGAACCAGAACAGTCCAACAAACGTGTTTATATTATTTAAAACAAGTTTGTTTGACCTGAATGTTTCTGAAAATACTTTAAAACTTGTTTATTTATTTATGATTTGTTGGTCTGGCTTCAGGTCCAGGCCTCCCCTGAAAAACACATCTGTGCTCTCAGCCTGGTTAAATAAAGTTTAATTAATAAACTAAAAAACAAACTAAAACATTCATTAAATATCGTTGAATTGGAAACGGCAGCTCATAAATATAAAGATATTTTAAGGGATTAACGTGTCGATGAATTTTAGAGAAGAAAGAGCCGAAACTCACCGGAAAAAGCCGAAACCCGACGATGATTAAAACTGGTCGCTTCTTTCCTCAACACGCGCCTCTCTGCTCCACTTCCAGCTGCTCTCACCAACAACTCTGTTCCTGAACAAACCAGAACCGAACTAACGTCGGTCGGTTCGGTTCCGAAGGACAAAACAACAAGTCCAGATTTACTTCCGTCTTCTTGATATGGTCCGCCCCACCCTGTTCTTGCACAACTTCTTTTAGATCAGATGGAAAACGTTCAAAATGTTCTCTCTGCCTCAGAAACTAATGATCTTTACTTTGATGAAACGTTTTCACTTGTTTAGTTTAGATGTTGAGGAACACTCAGTGGCGCAAAAAGCGGGTATGCAGCGTATGCAACGCATAGGGGCGCTGCACTGCAGGGGGCGTCAAAACCCTCTGTAGAAAAAATGTTTTTCTAGTAGGCATTTTCTAAATGATCAATAACAGGGGAACAGCACTGATTAGGCGCCCCTCTGCTCCTTCACCTCCCCTCTGCTCCTTCACCTCCCCTCTGCTGCTTCACCTCCCCTCTGCTCCTTCACCTCCCCTCCTATCGCTCTCCCTTCCCACACAGGTGGCTGTGAACACGCCCCTAAGAGAACGCACTCGGCGCGTTTTTTGTTTTTTTTTTAATCTTGAACTACCGCTCGTTGTGCACTTGACAACAAGATGGAGCGGCAGAAAAAAAAGCTATCCGGGGCGCAAAACAGAAAAAGGAAGTCACTTGACATTGCAAGCAAAATAGCCATCGAAATGGATGCTTCTCCTAAGTTCAAAGAGAAACGACTTAGGAAGCAAAAGAATTTCCCAGATGACAATTCATGCACTGGTCATCATGAAAAGGAACCCACAAGGCACTTCAGGTGCATGGTTTTCAATGTTATTGTTGACACACTCCTCCAAGAGCTGTCTGAGAGGTTTTCCAATTTTCAACTTGTGTCTGAGAAATTTAAATTCATCACTAAAATGGAGCACATGACAAAAGCTGAGCTGGAGGAATCAGTGACCACATATGCCCTGACCACTTGTGATGTTTCAAGAGATATCATTCAAGAAATATACCCAGCAAGCCGTCTACTGAAGGGTTACAAGGCTCTAGAAAAGTTAAATTTCCTAATTCAAGAGGACCTTGATTTGGTATTTCCAAATTTGACAGTAGCCCTTAGAGTATTTTTAACCATGCCTCTGACAGTTGCATCTGCAGAGAGATCATTTAGCAAGCTGAAGCTCATCAAAACATACCTTCGTTCAAATATGAGCAATGATCGCTTGTCCCAGTTAGCAGTGATCTCTATTGAAAACAGTGTGGCACGGTCTATT